TGCGGCGGCAGCAGCAGCAGGTGTTGCCGTGGGCAGAGCGGGCAGGTCAGAAATGGGCGCCAGGAGTGGCGCCGGGTATGCAGGCGCTGCCCCTTAAAGGGCCTTGGGGATCCGGGGAATCGCATCCCAGACAGCCCTGGCCCCTTTAAGGGCTAGCCGCGTTCCCCAGAAGGGGGAAGCTGCCTGCGAAGGTACCTTCGAGGTGGCGGTGATGTCCGATGTAATCAGGGACTCTCCCTGACTACTGGCCGGAGAAAAAGCTAGGGAGAGAGAGGCGGCTCCCAGGAGGACGGTTAGCTCCTCCGCTGGTCTCTTCTCCCTTCGCTTCTTCTTCTTCCTCCGGCTGGCTGTTGTAAGCGGAGGCTGCATGGCTTCAAAGAGGGCGGCCGGCGGCATGGCCTCCCGTCTTCTTTGCAGCGCGACCAGCTGGCTCCGCCTCTCTGTCAGGCGTTCCATCAGCCGCCGGAGGTTAGCGCGTACTTCCGGAATGGGGTAAGCGTGTCCGGGTGGGGTTTCTCCGCTTAGGTCTCCGCAACGGCTGGCCAGGTCCCGGGCTACGGGGTCCTCTTGGACCTCGGGTTGGGACAGCCAGTGAATCACCGTCTGCAGCAAGCCCATCCGCTCGCTTTCGACTTGCTGCGGTTAGTCGTTTTGGAGTTCTGTCATTATGTTGCGTCGGGAAGCAGGCGAGATCAGTCGGGTAGACGGGTTTTAATTGTCACGTAAGGACAGACAGGCATGAACATTCACGGACAATACAATGACAGAACTGGGGAATACTGACTGAGACACGGACTAAATACGCAAGACTAGCCAAAAATAACAGGACACAGGTGATCACAATCAGGAATTGACACGAGGTAAAGAGGGGGCGTGGCACACATGAGGATCGTACGGAGCTGGGCGTGACATTATATACTTACACGGGATTTGCTGTTCAACAAGAACAGTTTTTACAAATCAAAGTATTTTTAACTCTTCGGTCGTACAGTATGCAAATTCCTTCCCCAGAAAACAAAATATATTGGCAAATATTGGCGAAAAAGAGTACATTTAATGGCAATAATGCAGTCTAAAAAAAGCAGTATCTCTAGCCTACCTTACACACTATCCCCACCTCTCCAAAAAACAAAAATGTGACACTATTAAATTCTACCACAATAAATGTGTTTAAGTGTTACGTTCCCTAAGATACATTTTTCCGACTGGCTACTGGACCGCTGAAGGTAAAGTTAGCTGAATGGGAAGGCTAGTGACGAAAAATCTATATGTTTAGATGGCAAATGGCTATGTTCACAAGATTCCATTTTACCTCTCAGCTGCCTCCTGTCATTGCAGTTCCTATTTTCCAATTCTGCGGTGATTTTGGGTCTGGTCAACTGTACATGTGTAGATATTCATCCATATAATGCTTTTGTGAAGTTTTAATAAGATCCATCAAAGATCAAATAGAGTAAACAGAATAATAATTACATGTAGAAGGATCCTGTTCACAAAGATAAGCCTCTCATAATCTCATCCTTCTCCTTGCTGTCACTAAATGCCATTGCTTCAAGTTTCGGGTAATTTGTCTCAAAATTTGAAGGTCCAGATCTTCACTCACACAATGTGACTACAAAGTTTTGAAAAAATGAGACAGATCGTTTTTGACTCATTATGCTGACAAGATCAAATGTCTGAAACTACCCTTTTTTGATGCAACTATGTGGTGCTACTTCAATTTTGGGGTAATCTCTCTCAGAATATTACTTCCAGTTTGTCACCTCTACAATGTGCAAAGTTGTGAAAGTGTGCTAAGTTTGAAAACGATTTGTCCACTACTATTGAAGTTACTGTGTTTATAAGACCAAGTGTCTTCTACAGCTGTCATTTCCTTCTTTTGCTGCCACATAGCATTGCTGTTTCATTTTCTGGGTAAATGATCTGAAAATGAAATCTGGTGTAGATCTTCATCCATGTAATGTTTCTGTGCAGCAGTAATAAGATCCATCAAATACTTTTGAGTTATCACATTCACAAGGTCGAATGTTGTCCACTTTCACCATTTCCTTTGCTGCCATTAAACGCTGTTACCCCATTTTTGAGGCAATCTATCTCAAAGAGTTTTAACAGTTCTAGTTCGACACCAAAAAAATGCCTCTGCAAAGTTTGAAAATGATTTGTGAAAGAGTTTTTGAGTCAGTGGCAGAGGACTGGTCCCATAACCATATGGGTTCCCCAGATCCCAGGGAATATAATAATGCATGATATGAGTAAAGAATCAGACGTTCTTTGGGTTTAGACCAGTTGATGAGCTATGCTGGGGGAACGGGCTTTTTTATGGATACTTTGTTGTGAAGTGTATTTATTTGCAATATATCACATCCATCCTGTGAAATGAACATGGTTGTAAGTGGGAGAATTACTGGCCTACAGAATATATTGGTCTTCCATGAAGGATAGACATGACATTTGTTGTTATTATCATTGCAGCCCACACACAGCAGCCCTACGTCTCTGATGCTATCTGCTTACCATCCCCCCATTTTCTGTACCTGCTTGTCCGATTCAGGGTCACTGGGGTCCAGAGCCTATTCTGGAAACTATGGGGGCAAGGCAGGGAACCACCCATGATGGGGCACCGACCCCCCACGGGGAACACTCACACACGTTCACACCTACTAACATCTTGGTAACTTTGATTCATCTCAGCATATTTTTTGACCGGGTGGAAGCCGGAGTACCCAGACGAAAATCCACCACGACACAGGAAGAACATATAAACTCCCCACACATGGAGCTATGGCAGAGACTGGAACCCTGGGCCCAGAGCTGTGATGCAACAGTGCTAACCACTGCACCACCCCACATCTGTTGACCAAAAAATACTAATATTTAGCCTGCTAGGTAAGCTTATGTAGCTTATATCGACTGGCACTTTAATGGGTCCGTTTCTGCTAAGTGCTGATCAAATTTTAGTGCCGTTGGCAAGACTGATTAGTGGCATGTGGGTTATATTTATGCTAATGTAGGAGAGCAGTTTCCGGTGGATTGGCTGCCAGGATGTTGGGAAAGCACTCTGGAGACCAACCATGGGGCTGGAAGCCTAAGAAGGCTAGACCTATTAAAATAGAAAGCTCACTGAGTGACACCTAATGGGATATTGAGGATTTCATGAGAGTTCATAACTGCATACAATTGCTATGTGAAATACAAAGTATAAATCTGTATGTGGAGCTGCAGAAATATTAGTGTTTATTTGTCTATGTGTGTATGAGTTTTGTGTAAGTTTGTCTGTGTATTTTTGTGTCAGTGTATGTGCCTGGATTTTATGTACATTGATGTGCATAGTATGTTTATCTGAGTCGATGTGTGTGTCTGTCTGTGCGTCAGTGCAGCTGTGTGCGTGAATGTGTGTGTGCTGTCGGCAGCGACAGACAGAAGAACGGCAGGGAAGCTGAGCTCTTGGCGGCTGCCGTCCGGCCCGGAGGCCCGCAGAGCTCAGTGGGAGAGCTTCTGTCTTACAGAGGCTGCAGCTCAGCCTCCACACCGGCATTTACATTTACATTTCTAAAGGGTCAGTCAGCTCTTGAAACGCCAAGGAGGAAATTGACATTCACCGGGACGCCTCAGCAGCGCAGAAGGGGAAGAGAGGCTCCACTCCATGCCAAATTCCTCTGGGGGGCTCACAGAAACATGGCGTTCGCGGACCCCTCTCCTCTCCGGGTCCTTATCCGCACAGCAGCATCCTGGGAGGACAGAGCCTCTTTATTAAAAAGCAGGGCTGCTGGAGCCCCCCCCTCCATTCAGCCAAACATTGCTGATGTCCCTTCAGAAATGCTTGATGGGACCTGAGGACGGCCGTGGGCAGCGGCCTGAAATGCCCCCAAAGTCTTTGTTGGTGATCAGCATCAGCCTTGATTTCCAGCCTTTTCTGCATCTTGACTAATGGAGAGAGGAGCTTTATTTACCCCTGTTCACCCCCAGCCACATCTCCGGTTTATCACAGTCCTCTGTCCTTAAGAATCAGCTCTGCCCCCCGAAACAACATCAGGAACTGTTTGGGGGGCCGCCATCATATTCATGTTACACTTTCAAACATATTCCAGCTTCAGTGCTTATTTCCCATTTACTGGCTATAAAAATAGCCACTCTCACCGCTCTTTACATGGCCATATTCTCCAGCTCTACCCCCCCCCCCCCCACACTTAGACTTGCACCCCGTTCTGTAGAAACCAGCCTTCTCTCCTCTGTCACCCGCTGATGATGTGCGATACTGTTACATCATCAAATTACCATGTTCAGGTGAGCGAACCACACGCTTGTGTATGCGTGCACACTCACGCACATGCACTCACACACACTCACACCCTGCCCTCCCCGTCTGTGTCTGCTCCTCCTGTACCATCTCTCGTCTGTGTATCCCTCTCCCCTCATCTCCTCTGCAGAAACATGTTTTTGCTCTTGCTTCTGGTAAACAGGGCTGAGTGATGCCGGTAGAAACAGCTGGGCTGAGAGGTGTGTGGCAGTGTTTGCCTGCTTTCCTGGCGGAGACGGGGCAACGTGGTGACAGCAGACATGGCGAGAAAGACAGAGAGGGAGAGAGAGGAAGAGAGAGAGAGAGAGAGAGGAGGGGTAGAGAGAGCGAAAGAGAGGGAGGGAAAAAGAGAGAGGGAGTGAGGGAGGGAAAGAGAGAGAGAGGACCAGAGAGAGAGAGAGAGAGATGTCGTACTGGCATCCTCATTTATTAATGAAATAATAAACTCCCTGCGTAGCTGACCTAGAATTGAGAAGGAGAGAACATGTTTGCCATTAAGCTATGTGTGCAGTTACTGACACCTACTGGTGCTTCTAGGTTTTTGTAGTTGCAATTATATTTGTCTCACAATCAGAACTCACTCTGATGATTTCTTTCATACAGCCAGACATTTGTTTCTGAAACAACTTAATGTCTTTTTCTGATGGATGATCTGATGGACGTTGTAGCTGTTGACTATAATATTCTCTTTTTTGTCTTCTAGCCTGAGAAGAGAAGGCTATACAGTCCAGGTGAGCGTGAATGACTACCTGGACATCTACTGCCCCCTCTACAATGGCAGCCAGCAGGGGACAATGACAGGAGAGCAGTACGTGCTCTACATGGTCAGCTCCCATGGCTACCACACCTGTGACCCGAAGCGGGGCTTCAAACGGTGGGAGTGCAACAAGCCACATGCCCCCCATGCCCCCAATGTGCCCATCAAGTTCTCCGAGAAGTTCCAGCGCTACAGCGCCTTCTCCTTGGGCTACGAGTTCAACGTGGGCCATGACTATTACTACATCTGTGAGTGCTGTGCGTTCAACTGCTAAGTACAGCATACATATTGGAAATTAATGTGTTTAATATCTTTGTACATCAATATATCTATATATATATCTATATGTGTATAAATTTATTTGTACACTGCATCAAGTATTTTTGTTTGATTACCATTCTAGTAGACCACCACACCAGTGAAGTCAGTGTATTTTATATCCTTGTCTACTCAGTAAATTTTGTGTGATTAACATCATAGTGCACTGATACGAAGTACATCTATGAATTCAATGTATTTAACATCCTACAGCACTGATATATCTGCAAATTCAGTGAAGTTAAAGTCCTAGTGCATTGTTATACTGTATCTTTGAATTCAGTTTTATTGACATCCTAGTCCATTGATATATCTGTAAATTTAGTTTGATTAACATCATAGTACACAAACATATTTGTGAATTCAGTGAGATTAACATTCTAGTGCAGATTTATATCTGCATATCCAATCTGTTTAACATCCTAGTTCACTGATATATCTGTTAATTCAATGTGTTTAACATCCTAGTGCACTGACATATCTGTGAATTCAGTGTGATTTACATTCTACTGCACCTCTATATATGTGAATTCAGTGTGACATATTGTTTTTGATAAATATCCTCGGACACCTTGGCGCACCTCTGAAATAGATCTGTGAGCTTTAACTCTGCCTGAACTTCTTGACATTATGTGACATTGGTATTTAGGGCCCTTTGCAGGCTAGCATTCCCTCCCCATGTAATCACGCTGATGTGCTTTGCAGCCAAGCCCACCCACCATAATGACCACAGCTGTCTGCGCCTGAGGGTGTACGTCTGCTGCTCCACCCGTAAGTCCCCCCCCCGCACACAGCTTGCTCCTCCCCCTTATCTCAGCATCTCTCCTCTAACACACTCACTCCCTTGCCTCCTGTCCCTCTTGCACCCATTGGCGGTTTTTCTGTTAGTAGATTATTCTTGGACCAAGAGTGGTCAACTGACCAGGCAGACACACAGCATGTTTAGCACAGAAGATAAAAGAGACGCACAGTGTGGTCAGCAGAGCAGATAGACAAGCACTGTGGTCAGCAGACTAGAAAGAAAGAGCCTCTTCATTAGTACGCCAGGCTGAGATGCAGTGGAACATGATGGAGTCCCTACTGAAGCTACTTTCTCTGTGTCTATCAGCACCTCACAGAGATGACGACTCTAACGCGGCGATGCCAGACTACACTCTCAGGCCCAACCTCAAAATACACAGTATGGGTGAGTGTGTCCCATGTACCCCATTTAAGCTGGGTCCTTTTGCTGTGTCCTGCTTCTTTGTTTCTTTCCATCTCCTCTCTGTCACATCAGATGTAACAGGTTGTGTTTTTCAGCAGGGGAATACCTGTCAACTCACTGCCACTACAATCAGGAAGCTTGTATGACTGTGCATCTGCATGTGTGTGTGCATCTGTGTGTGGATTGTATGTGGATTAATAACAAAAACCAGTTATTTTGACACTGTGGAGACCATTTCCCCCACAAAGATCTGTGAATGCAATCCTCCATGCATTTTATGAAACCACTTGTCCTATTCAGGGTCACGGGGGGCCCAGGGCCCATCACAGAGACTATGGGCGCAAGGCAGGGAACAACCCAGGATGGGGCGGCAACCCATCGCAGGGCACACTCACACACCAGTCACACACCTATCCACACCTGTGGGAAATTTGGTAACTCAATTCGCCTCAGCATGTTTTTTGGGACTGTGAGGGGAGGAAACTCCAGCACGACATGGAGCAAACATGCAAACTCCCCACACATTGTGGAGACTCAAAGCCAGGTGCGAGGCGACAGTGCGAACCACTGCACCACCGTGCTGCCCCTTGAATGTAATCAAAAAAGTAAAAATGCCAGAAGTGTCAAATTTTGTTTGGTTACCTATGGTTAAGGTTAGGGCTGGATAGGGGTTAAGGCCATCATGTTTGGATTAAATTTTTCTCCATAGAAATGAATGGAGGGTCCCCACAAAGATATAATTACAAACCTCTGTGTGTGTGTGTGTGTGTGTGTAGTTTTGCTGAATTCTTCATGTATGTGTCTGGCGAAGGGGCTCCAGGATCTCCTTGGTGTTCTGTAAAGCACTGATTCCCATACTCAGTCCTGAGGGGATGGCACACTTCTGTTTCAGCCGGGCACTACGCAGGCCAGATTCAGATAATCAGCTCATAATGAAACTCTTGATTATTTGAATCAGGTGTGTCACTGCAAGGCTGCAACAAAAACATGTTTTCCCTCGGGACTCTGGGACAGGAACCGAAAAAAAAACAGAGCAATGTAACCACCTGGCAGCTGTTACCCATGTTCCCCTGCTCCATCTGTCCTGTCTCTCTGCTCTGAACAACATTAATTGTCAGTAGGCATCCTACAGCAGCCTAAAGCAAGCCTGAGTGGCACATGCCTACGCTGGGCCTAGGAGCAGGTTAGGGTTAAGTTAGGGTTAGGGTTAAGTTAAGGTTTGTGTAACCCCACCACCATGCAGCATTGCAGTTTTCCAGATTGTCCTGTATTAACTTTCTGACCCCATTGCCTGCCAGCTAACCTTAATGGCATTATTGCATCAGCTTGTATGACTCAGTAAGCTAAGTATGTAGATAAATCATGGAATAGCTGCTCCTCTACTCCCACTCATATTCGTAGAATCTTTAGGTCTTTGCCATTCACTGCTAAAAGCATAGACCTATAGTACATAGATGGTCCCCTGCAGCCAGTGTTGTGGCAGACCAGGCTATACCCTCCAGGGATGTCAGCTCGACAGGTCATCCAACACACTTCCTGAGAAGCCCAATGCGCGGTGGTCGCACACGCAGGCCAAATCATTGAGTCTTACTGTGGGGGTGTCTGGTATCCAGGCCCAGAGGAAAAGCTGGGGTAAAGGCTGAAGAGAAAACTGCTGTCTAGTGCTTTAATGTCCAGGAGCATCTTGCCAGCGCTGCTTTGTTCCTTTGCACTGGACAGCACATGTACTGACCTGACTTGCTCTTTTCTCCTTATGCTTGGATCTTGGGATCACAAAAAAGCATGTTCTGATCTCAAGGAAAGCCCTACAGCAGGGGTGGGCAATCTTATCCGCAAAGGGCCGGTGTGTATGCAGGTTTTCGCTGCAACTCCCTAATTAGGTCACTAATTAGAGGACTGATTGGCTGAAGAGTCCTCACACCTGGGTTTGAACAGCTTACCTAAAGGTTATTCCAAAAATCTGCATACACACCAGCCCTTGCGGATAAGATTGCCCACCCCTGCCCTACAGCATTTAATCTCAGAGGCCTTAGTACAATATAGTGGATGGGGAACATGTTTAAGTGTTCAAGTATTTCAGTAATTAAGTTCAGAAATAAACTTGCATTTAGAAATGCATGAAGTGAACATGAGGCAGGTGAGAGAGAGAAACATTACAGGGATTCTGAAATTGACATTAGAGAGCAGCCCTGTGTACATTAAACACCAACAACCCCAAGTCCTCTGCCCATGCTGTAATTATACCTCAATGACATAAATAGCTCCACAGAAGCAGACTATTACCAGAAACACAATCCAGCAGGATGACAGATTAATACATTGACCTATTGACATTGCACTGAGACACAGACACCACACCAGTGCAGCAATACCACGCTGTCACATCAGCACACTGATCACACGCTGACTCTGACTCTGGCTTAGTCTGTCTTGCCCACTAAGCCTCTGTTCTTTCTTTCCCAGAAGAGTTTAGCCCTGAACTTCCCAGCCTGGACAAGAGCACCAATGGCAGTGGCTCCTCTCACGACCGACTGCTGCTCATCCTGGCCACCCTCTTCCTGTCCACCCTTTCAGTCTCCTAGCAACTGTTTCCCCAAGCAGGGTCGTGTGGGCACCAAGCAAATGACTCCTTGAAGAGTTTGACTGAAGGGGCCTCTGATTTAAAGAGAGGAAGGGTGTAATGCCAACGCACTCAATCAGAAGCATAAAGGAGGAGAGTAAGGACTAAACCAAGAAACTGAAAAAGGGGGAACAGAATACCAACCAAACCAATCAGAGCAAAGAACTGAAGGAATTAGAATATTATCCTAACCAATCGGAAGGAATAAAGAGATGCAAATCCAACCAATTTACTGAAAAACAGGACACAAACCAAATTAATGTTAAAATGAATGTACATCAATACTGCAGAATGGAAGGTTGTGGTTTGACCATCTAACACATCAGCATTTATTTCAGATGGCAATGGCAAAAATGCATTAGTGTCAAAATATAGACAAAAATAATTGAAAGAAAATAGCACCAACTTGCAAATGAATGTAACTGAGCCACAATGAACACAAATCCCTGTTCTTTCACCGCTCACCTGATGGCTGCGATGTTGCAGTACGTGTGTGACATGCAAAAATCAGCAGTGTCTTAACAAATCATGATGTTACGCATGTTGAAATGCTGATGCATGAACCAGGAATGTACGCATGCGGGATGGGGAACAAGCTGGTTTCCTGACCTGCACATTTCTAAACCAGATTCAAGATAAACTGATTGCGTGTAAAATTGTTGCCGCTTAGGCAGAGGTGGCTATTGCTGTGATGGATGGTGTGTTAGGCTGTGCTGACCTCTGTAGATCTATGCTCTTGTTTTCTTAGCCTTTGGATTTAAGTGAGCTCCGTAATGTTGGCTCTGTGATGCCTCAAACCCTATGATTACCTGGATTTGATTCTTTTGTGACACTGTGTTCATCCAAGTCCATCTAGGCGACTGAAAAGAAACATATCGTGACCAAGTTCACTAAAATGAACCTCACAGTGATCATCTGACGCCACACACCGACAGTCTAGTTGACTAAAATGTGAAACACAGAGGTGATCTATTTGACTAAGATGAACCACAGAAAGACTGTCCAGTTCTGTGTAATGAACCTCACCATGAAAACCTGATTGTCTGAGATGCCCAGCACAGTGATGGTATTATTGAAGTGAACCGAGTAATGACAGTAGAGTACACCGAGATGAACCACGTGGTAACTGTGTGATCATGATGAACATACTGCATATTACAGAACAGATGACATCTGTGGTGCACTATGATGATATAAGTTGCCTTCACTTTAAAAAGGTTTTACTAATTTATTAACTTTTTTTAAGCCTTTGGAAGCTCCTCAGTGAAATTACATAAGCTCCTTCAGTGACATGAACACCAAGGTCCTAAAGTGGATTTAGCTTGTAGCTAATGCAATTGCCATTGTTTTTTTCTGTTAGAAACACTGTTTAAAGTAAAGAGATTTGCTTGCTCTAGCTATGTCCATGGGTGACATTGCAAAGTATGGGAAGTGCTTTTGGTTCAACAGAATGGAGACTTCATAACATTGATCAGATATTTTTTTTTACCTAGCTGGAGACAACAGAGATATATGCACAGTGTAACGTTTGGTTTAAGGTCATGGGTAAAATGTCCGAAGAGCTTCCTCCTGCTGTTGGGGGGAGGTCTACAATGTTTACGGAAAATCTGGGATGTCATTTATACTCATGCTTGTGCTTAATAAGCCTGAGTGTGTTAGACAAACATCTGTTCACCTAAATCTGCTCTGGGAATATGAAAGAAACATCGAAACATCACGTGATGAATGAAAGTTAAGTTGTTCTGAGGCTGAATCTGTCACGGTGACTTTGTGTAAGGTAGCAGCCTGCAAACTGTTGTCAGCGGAAACAATATTTTGCTGCAGATTATTTACTTTTGATTGCCTTTGTAAAAGCTTATCTTGCTTTCTCTTACTGTAATATATTAGGATGTCAACTTTGCTGTAACATACCATGCTACCAACTGTACAAAGTGTTATTTTACCCATCTTGGCTGTGCACACATATACCACATATTATGGTATTGTTCTCTAACAGGAGGACAGTGCTAATGTAGCTTTACTGTACCAGCCTGTGCAGAGCTGATGGCTGAATAAAATGGGGTGTTTTCCTATGTCTCACAAGTCAGGGCAGTGTGTACCAGCACAGCCTCAAATTTTGGTAAAGAGAGAGAGAACCCTGAGACCAACATAGGGCATACAAAAGAATGTACATAACTGGAGTAACTTGAAAGGCATGTGGTGCTGACGCCTGTCTGGACCTGAAGATGGATTTTGTTGTTTTCCCAGTTATTTTAGTATAAGTGGGATGGAACTTTGTCACGGGACATTTGACCCCGGGACTCATAGAGGAAGTGTGTGGAGTCTACACTTCGAACGAGATGAAAATGTACTTAATGTCATCAAAGAGCGTGTGTGTATGTGTGTGAGTGTATGTGTGTCTGTGTGTGTGGCTTTTTTTTATGCTTACATAAATATCTTTGTATGTCGTTACCAAACGTGCAACATGGTTCAGAATGATGGGAATTAAGGTTGTCCATTTATATAAATTATATGTATTTGCATTAGAAAGTACAAATAACCAACATCAGTTTCACTATGATGGGGAATAAATAAAAGTATTGAAGAGTATTGTGATTGTTACATTTCAGTGCAACTTTTTATATAATCGTTTGTTGCTGATTTATTATTTTAAATGGTTTTTTCCCGTTCTTTTGTGATTTGTCACCTTGTTTCCTGTAAATCCTTCTCGCCATGTCTTTTAAATGTCATCTAAAAGATCACACAGTGATATGGAACATAGCTGTATAATGTACTGGACTCTCTCCCAGCCATGACGCAGAACAACACCGAATGGTGTACTCCAACAGACACTCTCCCTACCATGATGCAGAATAACACCGAGCAGTGTACTCTAATAGACACTCTCTCGGCCATGACGCAGAATAACACCGAGCAGTGTACTCTAATAGACACTCTCTCGGCCATGACGCAGAATAACACCGAGCAGTGTACTCCAACAGACACTCTCCCAGCCATGATACAGAACAATACTGAGCAGTGTAATTCAACAGGTATACATTTCCCAGCCATGATACTGAACAACATTGAACAGTATAATCCTGGTGGTGCAGGCACAACACGTGATGCTTGGCAACACAACAATCCATCAGCTGCTGTCCGTGAACCTCATAATCCATCACGGTCTGTTACAGATCTGCAGTGTTGAGCAACATTGAGTAGATATTAGCTGGAAATGGTGGAAACGTAGTGCCAAGGCTTCTGCCAGGAAACACTTTAAAACTTCACATGCACTTGAACACATACATTCACACTTGGCGTACCTATCCAAATGGGGACCTTCCATTCTTTTCTGTGGGAAAAACCCAAATTCCAGTCACAACACCCTTAACCCCTACCCAGCCCTAACCTTAAACATAAGTAACCAAACAAAATATGAGAATTGTGGCATTTTTACTTTTTTGACTGCATTCACAGATCTTCATAGGGACCTAAAAAAGGTCCCCACAACTTCAAAATAAGGTTTTTATTATTAATCCACACACAGACACACATAGGCAGATGCACACAGAGATGCACACATGCACTCACACACGTGGGGAATATTTGGTCCCCACAATGCAATATAAGCATAATCCACACACACACACACACACACACACACACACCACCCACAGTCTCTGGCCTTGTTGTCTTTAGCTTGTCTCCAGAAAGACTTCGACTTGGTAAAGCAAGTGCCACTCATCAGTTGTGTTTTCACTCAACAGCATTGGATGTGCTTTTCCCTGGAAAACCAAAACTCTGTGACTACTGTCAGCACCATCTCCAGAGCTTTTCAGACTTCCACACTCCATGAATGTAATGGCAAATAGTTATTTTCCCAATGAAAAAGAAAACATTGAAATGAAAGATTGTGTGTTTGAATAAAATTAATCTAGGAAAGAAAACCTTCTGATGGCCCATGTTTTCATAATATGAAACATCTAAATTGTATCATAAATTAATTTTTAATGCAATTCAAGAATATCCACATCAAAGGCAAAACAGTGCAGCATTTAAACAAAGTGACTGTAAAAAAGGTTGGAAGGTTCTGTTCCCCTCTGGCTGTCACACACTCCGTTTCCGTGCCATTCCTTCACTCTTGTGTGCTTATCTCTCATCTCTCTCCTTTATCTGTTTGGTACTGTGTCTGACTTCAATTTGATAACACAAAATGCAGTATTTCCAGGGCAGGCAAAACATTGGAGACATACAAAACAACTTCTATACAACAACAAATGTACACAATGTCATAGTAAAAGAATAATAGGAACAAGTGACAGGTCACTTATTTTGCTGTTTGTCTGTCCATCACATTCTTTTCCTGTTTCATTGTGCCTTGTCTATGTTTTTGCCTATCACTTGCTCTCATCCTCTCCATTGTTATTTAGTCATTCAACTCTCCATCCTCCTTCCTGTTCATCTTGGTTTATTCATGCCTTTCTGCCTCTGCTGCTCCCCGGTTTCAGCTTGCAGAATCACGGGAGTCAGGCTGAGCGTAGGCAGGCTCAGCTGGCTGGCAGGTAACACATCCTTCCCCAGCCCCGTCATGGGAGGCGCTAGGGTGGATTTTGATGTCAGTGCCAGCTGGGTCAGATTCTTACAGTCCTGCTGGTTATCTGCAATGCTTTTGACAAATGGGCCCAATCTTTCAAGGACCTTGAAAGGCTCCTGAGTTGCCATCCCAAGTGCTAAGTTCACACTACATGACTTTCAAAGTTGTGAGATTGCTACAGTATACTTTTCACACTATACAACTTGTTGCCTTGTAATCGGGAATCATGAAGCTCTTGTGGTTTATACAGTATCTTTAAACAGGAGGATTCCCTGACGAGCCTGTCTAGTGTCCAACTACATTATGTCACAAAAACAAATTGTTAAAACACTTTAATCAAATGACAACATATGATATGCTTTTACAAATGCATGACAAATTAACCCTTGTATATGTAGCACTTACAGAAAACACCAATACAGTAGTATGCAAAAGTTTGGGCACCCCTCGATAAATAACATATTTTGGTCATTTTTTAATGGAAAAGATGTAAACACAGTCTCTGTAGGAAATGGAAAAAATGCACAATATTTACACCAAACATTGATGCATAGTTACTTTTTATGTCATAAATTGTCATAATTATGTCATAATTGGAATGGTTGAAGTGACCCTTAGCCACAAATAACCATAACTATCTGTATACTTTTACTAAATACCTTTTACCTGAACGCTAAGAACAGTTACTAAATAAATTTCAAGCACCTCTCCCGGGTTTCCCCTCATCTCGTGTCTTGTGCTTTCATTGGCTGTAGCTAATAGCCACATTCATTGCCTGTCGCAACCAGGCCACAACACTTTTCACACTACAGGTTCAGCCTGCTAGATATCTGACAGGCGTCTGGGACTCATCAGCGAGTCTGTCAGGTTGCGTCTTTGAACGACTCACAAATAATGATTAAGCGCCAATTTGCCAGCACCGATCAGACACCGATTTGTCTCCATTCTGAGACTTTTTTTGGTGATCTCTAAAAGCAGTCAGTAAATGGAAAATTGAAGCTAAAATCGTGTAGTGGGAACTTAGCATTAAGGTCCAGATACAGTCACCTGACTGCAGCAGGGGCATCAGTAGCTCACGATCATTCAGCCCCCACTGCATTCGTTTATGATCCACTCATTTTGTTATTTTGCTTATAGTTGTATTTATTGTTGTTATTTGTTACAAATTAGGTGTTTTCACAATGCAGGAACCTTTTTTCAGAACCACAAACTTTTGTCATGTTCTCTCCGCAGGAGCTCAGCCCGATTGTAGTTCTTTGGAGGCAATTCTGGAACCTTTATTCAGTACCTACAACTTTTCTTTGAACATGAACTACCGGGGAGGCGATTACAGTGATTGCTTGCTGAGTGATTGACCAAAAGCACTGACACTAAGTTACGCAGAAGTGCAGTGAAAAGAGATATTAATGGAGCAAAAATTGAGCAGATGGAACTACTTTTGTACTTCAGTTACCATATTTGTTCATCGGAAAATTCAATCAATACTTTTCTCTGAAACCGCCTGTGCCGTGAAATATCTGGCTTGGATACCTGCCAAGATGGCGGCGTGGTAGGACGCAGCGGCTACTCCGAATCTTGCCTTAATTTGCTTAACTTGTTCACTTATTTATCCTGCATATGTGCACATTCATACTGTTTTTCGTACTCCCGTTTTCTCCATGTCATTTCTGTTCAGTCCCAGTCTGTTGTCTTCTCTGTTCCACATTACGATAACACTAAAATACTGTATCGTTGTACTATATATATGTGTGTGTATATATATAGTACTATACTAATATACTATATATTAATATAATATATATGTATATTTTTTTTAATGTATGTTCATTTAGATAAATTCATGTATATATAGTGTGAATTATTACTACTCTCACCCTCATTGTGATCTGTCTTGTGTGCTGTTAAGTTTTATGTTGCACATATGGTCAAGGAGAACGATATTTTGTCTTACTGTATACTTATTGTGTATTGTTGGGATAACAATAAAGCACTACTTATACACGACAAAGTACTTATATGTACTTACAAATCTGTCACGGGTCATATGTGTCACCGGGCACAGAGCAAACGAGAGAACGGGACTTCCATGGAAGGACTTTATTAGCTTGACTAGGCAAACAGAGTTGGAGGGGGCAATCAGAAGACGTAATCGGGGCACGGAGCAAGGAGTCTGGAAAGCCGGTGAAGTCAAGCCGAGGGAGTACACAGGACGCGGGACGAGCGGACACAGGTGGCAGTCGGGAAAGCGGGGAGTACTGGGACCAACACGGAAGAACTGGGCTAGGGCTGCAAAGAAGACAAGGAGAGAAACGCTCAGTAAGTTGCATGGAAATCAATAATACCTCACGCCGAGGAGAGCGAGGTGACTCCTTTTAAAGCCGCTGTTACAGGTGGACAAGATTCCGCAGATTAGGGAGTGCACTCCGTCTGTCGGGGGCGTGGTCGGGACGTGACAATATGAATAAGACATGAATAAAAGGCTACGTCCCATCTTGAACGCAACACCCCCCCGCCCCCTGCAATAACTAACAAATAACTAACAAAAAAGTTAACATAATAACCTGTTCATTTTCCATTGTTCTGGGGTGGTGGTGTAGTTCAGAATTATGTGTGAAGTTTAACATACAAGCTTTTCGCGTCTCCTATGCTTATTTAGCATAAAAATCCCACTTCTGTTGTACAGTGTGCAAGCAACACATGAAAGTGGCCAGAGGATTCAAAAGTCCCTGGTCGAGAGACAGCCCAGGAACTTTTAACCAGGGAACCAGGGATCATTTGAAGAATCAGCTTCCTTTAGTTTTATAGTAAACATCATGTGATTGATTGAATAAAAGAGTCTTCATCGAAGGGGGGGGATCTCATCCCTCATTAGCAAATGTTTCTTCCTACTTTGTGACTATGTTCATCCTAAACAAAACTACACGTTTCTCCTGCAGCCTCACCCTCAGGCCACACCCACAAAGTCTCCAATGTCAAATCTGACATCAATCATCGCCTGTCTCTTTAGGACTTGTGCCTGGGTGCAGGT